AGCCAGGGGCCACTCGGTGAGGCAGGTGTGCAGGCACAGCTCAGGCTGGAGGTGGAGCAGGAGCCCTGGGAAAAGCCCCCGGCAGGCCAGTGCCCACCCTAACACACGAAGACTGTGCTGGTCAGCTCTATGTGTCCACTGGCCCAGGCTGCAGCACTCAGCAAGTCAATCAAACACAAGCCCAGGTGCTGCAGTGAAAGTCCTCTATACACGTGGTGAATCAACAATCAGCTGACTTACAGGAGATTTTCTTTGGTAATATGGGGGGTCTCATCCAATTAGTTGAAGGCCTTAAGAGCCAAACTGAGGTTTTCCTGAGAAAGAAGAAATTTCTGCCTCAAGACTACAAGACATGCATACATACATACGCACTTATACTTACACATACACACATCTACTGCCCCTGTTTTTCTGGAGATCCCTGACTGATAAAGCACCAACTAGTCACTGTAAGGACTACGTTTCTGCTGCAGTGGGTAAAACCATTACAACAACAAATTCCAACTCCAGTTAACTACTTATTAAACTCTAGACTATACAATTTACCTCATTCTCTATTGTTCTTCTACACACAAGGTCCAGCATACAATTAAAATTTATAAAGCACACAAAAAAAGCAAGAAAAAGCAAATTACAGTCAAGAGATAAAGGAATTAAGAGACTCGGACTCAGGGATGACTCTGATTTCTGAACTACAGGTCAAGGACTGTAAGGTAACTATGACAAACACAGCAGAGGCTCTAGAGGGAGGTGGACGATATGCATTTCACCCGAGAGATGGAAACTAAAATAATCAGTGGAAATGCTATAAAGAAAAACTCTGTATCAGAGGAAAAGAATTTCTTTGACTGGTTTATTGGCAGACTAACAAAAGCTCAATGCAACATGGCAGAGAACAAATGGAAGCGCACACAGAAGAGCTACAGTACCATGTCCAACAGTGCAATACACAGAGAGCTGAGTCTCAGAAGAGACACACGGAAGCGCTGCGGCACAATGGCCAACAGAGCAACACACAGACAGCCAAGTCCCAGAAGAGAGAGACACACGGAAGCGCTGCGGTACCATGTCCAACAGCACAATACGCAGACAGCTGAGTCCCAGAAGACAGAGAAAACAAACAAGAACTATTTGAAAAGATAATGGATGGGAACTTTTCAAAAATGAAGATGTCGAACTACACATCCAAGAAGCTCACAGAAACACAAAAAGAATAAATTTCACAGGTGCATTACTGGGCACCCACAGTCACAGCTACTCAGGAGGCAGAGGCAAGAGGATCACTTGAGCCCAGAAGTTCAAGTATAGCCCAGCCTGGGCAACATGGAGAGACATCTATCTCTTTAAAAAAAAAAAAGGTGGGGGAGCCAAAGAGAATAAATCCCAAAACCAAAGAGAAAACAACAAAACCAATAGGTTATACACCAAACTACTGAGAATACAAAGGGGACATCTTGAAGGTTGCCAGAGAGAAATGAAACCAAATATACAGAGAAACAAAGAATTACAGCAGGCTTCTCAGAAACTGCTGGCCAGAAGACAACAGGTGACTGTTTCAAAAGACAGTACTAAAAGAGTCAACAGAAAATTCTATAACCAGAAAAAACGTCTTTCAACCACAAAGACAAAATGAATAATTTTCCATTAAAAATCTAGGAAAATTTAATGTCTACAGACCAGCACTTCAAGATACGTTAAAGTTCTTCGGGAAGAATGATGATGATACCAGATAGAAACATGGACCTGGGGAAAGAAATGAATGGTCCTCAAAACAATAAACACGAAGGTAAATATAAAAGACAGCTATTCATTATTATTTTTTTTTCTATTAAAATGTTTGGGAATTTTTCATTTTCTTTTTTTTTTTTTCCCCATTTATTTATTTTATTGCATTTTAGGTTTTGGGGTACATGTGAAGAACATGCAAAATTGTTGCATAGGAACACACGTGGCAGTGTGATTTGCTGCCTACCTCCCCATCACCTACATCTGGCATTTCTCCCCTTGCTATCTCTCCCCAGCTCCCCACCCCCCACCGTCCCTCCCCTATTTCCCCCCAGCTGACACCAGTGTGTAGTGCTCCCCTCCCTGTGTCCATGTGTTCTCATTGTTCAACACCCGCCTATGAGTGAGAACATGCGTTGTTTGATTATTTTTTAAAAATCTTTTAAAAACAGTCAGCAGCTTCTTTTTTCTTTTTTTTTTTTCTTTTTTTTTTTGAGATGAAGTTTCACTCTTGTTGGCCAGGCTGGAGTGCAATGGCGCAATCTCTGCTCACTGCAACCTCCACCTCCCAGGTTCATGGGATTCTCCTGCCTCAGCCTCCTGAGTAGCTGGGATTACAGGCATGCACCACCACACCCAGCTAATTTTATAATTTTAGTAGAGATGGGGTTTCTTCCTGTTGGTCAGACTGGTCTCGAAATCCTGACCTCAGGTGATCCGCCCACCTCAGCCTCCCAAAGTACTAAGATCACAAGCATGAGGCACCATACCCGGCCTCAGCAGTTTCTTAAAGAATTAAACTTAACATATGAGCTAATAATCACAGTCCTAAATATTTACACAGAGAAAATATGTCTCCACAAAGATCGAGTGCTTATAGCAACTTTATTCATAACTGCCAAAAACCAGAAACAACCCAAATGTCTGTCAACTAGTAAATGGATAAACAATATGTGGGAGAGCCACAAAAATGGAATAAAGGAAGAAAACTACTAATACATGCAGCTACACAGATGGATCACAAATAAATTTGCTAAAGGAAGATACAAAAAACTACAAATGACATGTTGCCACTTAAATGACATGTGTAAAAGGAAAAAATGCAGATAGAAAAATCAGATCAATGGTTTCCAGAGGCCTGAGAAATGAGAGGGGAGTGATTACAAAGGGGCCCAAGGGAACTTCCTTGGTGTGACAGAAATACTCTATATATTGATTGTGGCATTTGTTACATGACTGCATATATTTGTCAAAACTTAAAGAAATGTACACCTAAAAAATGTTTACTGTATATAAATTATATCTCAGCCGGGCGCGGTGGCTCACGTCTGTAATCCCAACACTTTGGGAAGCTGAGGCGGGTGGATCACCTGAGGTCAGCAGTTCGAAACCAGCCTGGCCAAGATGGTAAAACCTAGTTGTCTGCTAAAAATACCAACATTAGCCAGGCATGGTGGCGGCCACCCGTAATCACAGTTATTCAGGAGGCTGAGGCAGAAGAATCACTTGAACCCAGGAGGTGGAGGCTGCAGTGAGCCGAGATCACGCCACTGCACTCCAGCCTGGGCAACAAGAGAGAGACTCCATCTCAAAATTTAAAAGAAAAAAAAAAAAGTATTTCAGTAAATTTGATGCTAAAAGAAGAAAAGTAGATATAGTGTGGAATGGTTAAGAACACAGTCTCTGATGGAAGAAAAACTTTGCAAACCATACATCTGCTAAAGGACCAATCTTCAGAATACATAAAGAACGCTGTAACTCAACAAAGACAAAATGAACAAACAACCCAATTCAAAAATGGGCAAAGAACTGAAACAGACATTTCTCCAAAGAAGACCTATAAATGGCCAACAGGCCCATAAAAGATGCTCAGCACCATAGGTCGCTAGGCAAATGCAAGTCAAAACCATGAGATCCACTCCACACCCATGAAGATGGTCATTATTTAAAAAAAAAAAAAAAAAAAAAAAAAACAGAAAATAACAAGTATAGGCCAGGATGTGGGGAGATTGGAATCCGGGTACCTGGTACTTTGCCGATGGAAGTGAAAAATGGTCCAGCCACTGTGGAAAACAATAGGCGATTGTTCAAAAAGTTAAACACAGAATTGCCGTGTGATCTCAGAAACTCCACTTCTAGGTATATATCGAAAAGAATGAACAGTAGAGACTCAAACAGATATCTGTATACTATGTCATAGCAACATTATTCATAGTAGCCAAGAGGTAAAAACACCCTAAATGTCCATCAACAGATGAATGGATAAATGAGTGTATCTATACAATGAAATAAAACTCAGTCTCAAAAAGGAATGAAATATTTGCTACAATACAATGTGAGCTCTGGAGGCATCATGCGAAGTGAAAGAAGCCAGAAACAAAAGGACAAATATTGTATCAGTCTACTCACACGACGGCCCTGGAATGGACAAGTTCATGGAGAGAGAGTGGAATGGTGGTTGCTAGGGGCTGGGGAAGGCAGGAATGAGGAGGTGCGTGATGGAGACAGAGTTTCCATTTGGGATGGTGAAATGTTCTGGAGGTGGACAGTGAGGATGGCCGCACAACATGATGAGCTATTTAATGTCATTGAGTTGTACAGTTAATAATTCCTAGAATGGTATTTTGTGTTGTGTAGGTTTTTACCACATTAAAAAAAAAAAAAAAAAAGTCTCTGGACTTGAACTGCATAAGTTCAAATCCCAGCCCTGCTATTTATAGGACAACCATGGGCAACTTTCTCATCTCTCTGTCCCTTTTCCTCAGCTCTCAGATGGGGATTAACCATAAAACCCACCACACAGGGCCGCTGTGAGGGTTAGAGCTGATAAAATGCAGAGTGCTTGCAATGGCACCTGGCACACTGTAGGCACTCGGCAAACGCTGCCGTTATTACTACAGGCCACCAGCTACGATGTGACGCTTCCCTGGAAGTGATTTGCCTTTTCCACATTTCCACGCAGGTATCCATCATTCCACTTTTTTTTAAGTGTACATAGATGCTATGTGCCAGACAGAACAAATTTAAAGTAGCAAATTAGATAACCCAATAATCATTATTTGACTAATTTTCCTTGAAACACCTTCTCCACTACAAATCACAGGTGAATGCATCTGAAATTACTTAAAGGCGATGTGACTCCAAAAAGAAAAAGCATCCTCATATCTGCACAGCCGGAGACCAGCCCTGGATCAGACCACAGGCTCGGCGAGCCCCGCCCAGCCCAGAGCCGGCCACGGAGGGCCTTTGTGGCAGGGGGTGAGGGAGGTACTCACCAATCCAGCATTCCAAGCGTGCACAGGGCGTGGTCTTCACCACATCGGGAGGGTCCACACCAACATTCAGGCACAAAACTAAGGCAACACTGACTGTCTTCATCTGAAAACACAAATGAAAAAAAAAATTTCAACATGGAACTCATGTATGCGTTTTTCCAGCTTTTAAAATGTCCCCCAGAACACTGAGCCCCTTCCCCAGCCACCTGCCCTCCAGCCAGTCCTCCACCTGACAGCTGGCCACCCCAGCCCTGGTACAGAAATAATGCCCTTCTTTGAAGGCACGGTTTCAGAGTAAGGGCTATGCTCAGGCTTCCTTATGATAAATCTCCAGAAATGGAATTATTTGATCAAAAGATATAAACATTCTAACACACTCAATACATTCTGCCGAATTCCTTTGCAAAAAAAAAAAAAAATACACAAATTTATACTCCCACCAGATATTAAACCAGATATAAAATCCTTATGATTTAAAATCATGAATCATTTAATGAGAAAAGCTGTCGTACTGATTGAGTTTACGTGCGTTTGCATCAGCGAGGCTGCCTGATTCTCCTCGCGTGCATTCACTGCCGGCACTGTTGACCCCCCGTGGACCATCTGCTCATTACTCGAACTCACACTGTAGCCTGGCCACACTGACCTCTTGACCCTCAAATCCATCGCTCCCTCTGCCGGGAGCTCCCCTCTGCCAGGTCGCCTGGCCGGCTCTGACTCTCTCCTTGGATCTCCGTTTAAAGATCAATTTCTTGGGGAGGCCTTCTCTGAATACCCCTCAACACACCTTCCACACTCCCCATCGGGTGGAGCCAGCTGGAGAACGCTGAGATCACACCTGTCCTTTCCTCCGGCAGAGCTGCAGCCATGGACATTCCTTGCTGGGCCAGAGACTCAAGGCCACACTCCTTTGAGCAAGAAGCTGGCCCCGACCAGCTGCTAAATGTCCACTGAATGAGTGAAGACATGCGGTTTGTACAGTGTTTCTGCTTTACATTTGTCCTTTAAGCCATCTGGATGTTATTCTGGTATATGACACAAAATGAGGATTAATTTTTTCCTCATACTGTGCCAATCCCTATGAAATAAGCTGCCCCAAACTCACAGGGGTGCACAGATAACAAATTCTCAGAGAGAAAAATTCTATTTCTGGGTAAGCAAATTCATCCCACTGACCTATCAACCAATACTTCTACTAGTCCTACGTTAATTTAAATAATGCATCTTTATATTTCATAATATTTGGAAGGGTCATTTTTTGCCCTCAAATTAAAAAAATTATTTAGCTATTTATATTCACTTTTTTCTTCAAATTATCAGTTCTTCAATCTTTTAATCCCATTGGGATTTTTATTTAAATTGCACTGAACTAAATTGCAATGAAGTTTAATTTGAACTTAAGAAGTAACATCCTCATAATATTCTATTTTCTATGCAGAACATAATATGTTTCTCCATTTATTCAAATGTTCTTTTAACTGTTCTCAGTAACATTTTTATTGTCTTCTTCACGAATAAGTCCTGTGCATTTCTTACTGAGATTGTTCCTAAGACCCGGTGTTCCACAGAACCGTAGAGTGACTGCAATTAACATTGGCTTAATTGACGGTACATTTCAAGCAGCTGGAACAGAGCTGAGTGTGGTGGTGCACACCTGTGGTCCCAGCTACTCAGGAGGCTGAGGCGGGAGCATCGCTTGAACCCAGGAGTTTGAAGGTACAGTGTGCAGTGACTATGCCTGTCAACAGCCACTGCACTCCAGCCTGGGCAACACGTAGCAAGACCCCATCTCTATAAATAAATCGATGAATAATTCTTAAAATACCTACAGGAAAATAATTCTAATGTTCCTAGCATAAAGAAAAGACAAGCTGGGCACAGTGGCCCACCCCTAGAATCCCAGCACTTTGGGAGGCCGAGGCAGGCGGATCACCTGAGGTCAGGAGTTCAAGACCAGCCTGGTCAACGTGGTGAAACCTCGCCTCCACTAAAAATACAAAAATTAGCCTGGTGTGGTGGTGTACTCAGGAGGCTGAGACAGGAGAATCGCTTGAACCAAAGAGGTGGAGGCTGCAGTGAGCCGAGTGGCACCACTGCACGTGGTCTTCCTGTGGCCATGGTGAACAACTATTAACACCTGCCTCACAACAGTTTTAAATCAAGGGTGTTTCTTTCGTGCTCTGTAATATGGACAGGAATTGATTCAAACCCTGGAGCAAGTTCCAAGTTGCTTCCTAAAGAACAAGGCTGACTTTGTTAACGGTCACCTGCAGGGTCCCTCTGTGGGAAGGGAAGCCTTCCAATGAGAAAACAATCTATATGATCAGGTTCTCTAATTTTCAAAACAGACCTGTGCCTCCCTACAGCTTAATGGGCTCCCAACTGGCTTCTTGTCCCCAATCTGCAAAGAGAATATTCCCTAAACTGAGGTCAGTTTAGGGAATATTCAAAATCCAGTGGAAGGAACAGCATTAACAGGCCGACTCTGAGACACCCACCTGCTCCTCCCGTGGCCAAGTGCCACAGCCGCTGCCCTGGGGCTTGGCTGGCAGGGCTTTCTCCCCATTTGTCCACATGCTCTGTGCGCCCCAGGAAAAGGTGGGGGGAGCTGCTTTTCTGGGCTGATGTATGCTCAGTAGCTCCCCACATGACCGTGTTCTTTCTTGTGCCCCCGGAAACTCACAGCCAGGTTTGGGGCTCAGTCCCCGCACTTCTGATCAATGCTGACCTCCCTTTGCTAACGTGCTTGTTCCCTGAGCTGTGCAGTATAAGCACACAGTCTACTTCATCCTTCACCAAAGGGCCATTAACTCAGCGGCGGCGTTCCACTAGGTGAGGCACCCGGGGAGTAAGGTGGGGCAAGTCCAGGAGCCAGCAAGTGTGGCAGCCAGGACTCAGGCAAGCTCCCCAGGGGAAGAGGCTCTGCAGCTGCTGGGTCTGCTTTCTCCTCCGCCTCTCAGGGGCTGGGGGTGCTGGGGAGGTGGGGGAGGCTGACACAGGGCAGTGATGTGCCATTCCCAATACCTCTGACTTTATTCCTATTTCTGTTATCTCGGCTGTCGTTCTAGACAAGTCATATTCCCTCCACCTCTACAAATGCAGCTAATTAAATTTTTAGAATTTAACATTCTCAGTAAAACAAATAGTTCTAGTTAATAGTAAAAAAAATATCTCTGAAGATCTCTGAGTCCCTTACACAAAAGTACTAACAGAAGCCCGAGAATCATTCTTTAGTCCCATGGGACAGCTAGAGGCCTCACTTCACTGTGCCTGTCAGTAAGTACGGTCTTCCTGACTCACCAAATGCTACTTAGAGAGACCATTTCTCTTTGACTTCCTTACAGGCCAGCAATAGGAAGGCACGGCCCTCAGCTGGAAGGTGTGAAATTAGCTACACTATATAAAGACAAGAATGAAGACAAAAAAGAAATTAATTTGATTCATCCTTGTTTATATAATACACACCTAACCCTACATACTGCATTATACTTTTAAAGAAAACAAGAAAAACACCTCGAGAAAACATTAACACATGAACTAGAAATGTGTTTGTTCTAATATCTAGCTACCAATTTAACTCCAAAACTGAGCAAAAGACAGTACAACCACATATCGTTAAGCAAAAAAAATACGCCTTGCTCCTCTGCAAATTTTAACACTGTGAGCCTAATTTCAAATTTGGTAAGTTTTTTGTTTTGTTTTTTGAGACGGACTCTCACTCTGTTGCCCATGCTGGAGTGCAGCGGCGCGATGTCGGCTCACTGCAACCTCCACCCCCTGGGTTCTGGTGATTCTCCTGCCTCGGCCTCGCAAGTAGCTGGGATTACGGGTGCACATCACCGTGCCCAGCTAACTTTTTGTATTTTTAGTCCAGGCGGGGTTTTGCCATATTGGCCAGGCTGGTCTCGAACATCTGACCTCAGGTGATCTGCCAGCCTCGGCCTCCCAACGTGCTGGGATTATAGGTGTGAGCCACCATGCCCAGCCTCAAATCTAGTAAGTTTTTAAATTCTTACCTATAGCTAAAATGTCTTTCTGGCATTTTATTTTCATTTCTATGGCAACTTCATTCCAAAAATTCTTGATTAATGTTTTTTAATAACACAGTTACAGGATTTTTAAAACGTAAGGGCTATCAAATTTAATGTGCCAAAAACAGCATAATATTACATAAAACACGTTTTTTGACTTTCAAACGTTTTCCTCCAATGCAATGTAATTTAAGACGACATGGTTAGATCCCCATAGGTTAATTCTGAATTTGAAAAGAACATCATTTTGAAAAAGTATAAAAGTTAAGTGCTCACTAACAACGAGTGGCCTTGGGCATGTCGGTTAATTTCAATCCCTCCTGAACAATTTCCTCCTCCTTAAAGTGAGGGGGTGGAGACAGATGACCTCTTAGGTGCTAAGGATTTTTCAGATTCTATAGTTCTGCCTCACGACTGGTCTTCCCGGCCATCCTGGAGGAACCCCTCAGGCCGGAGCACACGCCTAAGGATTCCGTGGCCCAGCTGGAAGGTCTCCACAGCACTCTGGAGTCCGGGTGGGAGAGGCTGGGGGCCGTCAGGCAGGGGTCCGGATGGTATTATAACAGCCTGGGCAGTTTTCTTGATGATTCTTTGGTGCCAGTTTGGTTTTGAAATTCAAAAGTGTTCAGTTTGGTGAAAGGATAATGTGATCGCTCTGCCCTCTCTCACATAACACACCCAGGAGGGTTTAGAGCGGCGCCCAGCACTCACAGCGTTAATACTTCCAGTCCCCGTGGAATCAATAGAGCGTCCAGTCTCACCCCAGCCCAGGCCAAGCTTTGCCACCAAATGATAATCCAGCGTTCAGAGCTTCTGGATTTCAGAATTGCACACAGGGCCTGTACGGCAGAGGACCTGTGGTTGAAGGCCTGGACATGCAGAACATGTCACCTCACAGGTGAAAAATGTACTAATGCCTGTCACCTTCCAAAGAATTCAAATCACAAGGGATTTTCTTAATGAAGTCTTCCTTCTCCACTGATTGGATAAAATCATATATATTTAAAAAGATACAGGTGACCAGGTGGTACAAACAAGCTCAACTATAAATTCACAGACTGACGTGTAGTGA